ACTTGGTTTCATAAAAACAGGTAACTAAGTAGAAAACATATTTTATGGAGATTCGGAGATATAAAAGTATTAGTTATTTTGAAGTCGCAAATTTCTTTTTACTTATAATACAAAGTGACTGACCTAACCAAACGTGCGGAGTAGTAAGCAATCTGTATAGCGTAAAACGGTGCTGAGACGTGGAGGCTCTCCTAAGGAGGGGGCTGTGTACAGAATGGGAGTTTTAGAGAGTTCCGAAAGAAGCGAACTAAGGCCCAAGCCGAAGGAGATCGGATAGGGGAGCTAAAATGGAGTTAGGGGGGACATATTACGAGTTGTGGTGATGACAAGCGGAGTAAGTCGACAACTTGAATGGTGGCCAAGAATTGGTTACGGAAATGTGACATGTGTTTCATTGAGATAGATAGATGACATTGTCAACGTCGCAGACTGTGAGTGATTGAGACTGAGAATTAATGCGCACGGCACCAATTAAGGGAGCCAGTGGCTGAAGTCAGGTTGTGGATGATGACAGTAAAATTTAATTCACAAGTGAACATTTAAATGCAAAGTAACAATTGTAGTGAAAACCAAACGTACGTGTTAAATATTCAAAGGTAACATAAAAATTACTGAGTAATACTAAACATACTCTCGAATTGTGTATAGGGTCTTTATCTTTATCTTATACATCATTATACGAACATCACGGACTGTTACGTCTCCAAAGTACGTGTTGGGAATGTTAAGTAATCTAAGCACTTTTTTAAAAGACTTATTACTGTGAACTTTATTCTAAATAATCTCAGTACAGAGTACTAAAAAAACCGACCTCAAAAGTACGTGGAATTACGTCTATTTGCTAAGTTTTATTGAAACATCCTTAAATTCGCCACTATAGAGGACTTGACACTGGAGATAATAAAAATCGGTTCTCACTACTTTTGAGTAGTTTTTCTCAATACTTTGGTATATGGAGAGAAAAACGCCTTGAATTGGAGAAATAGCAAAATCAACCATTAAAATAATAGCTCCTTAGTAAAATTTAGCCGCTATTTATAAAAATGAATCTTCATGCGGGAACAGCCACCCTTAGAGGTGGATGATTTTCTTCAAAATGAAATGGGACCACTATGGAAGTACCCCCTTTCCAACAAAAAAAGAATCATGAAAATCTGTTCACAAATACTGGAATTATCGCGTACATAAAAAAAACAAAAAAACATACAGTCGAATTGAGAACCTCCTCCTTTTTTGAAGTCGGTTAAAAATTGACACATTTTTTTTTTAATTCTGCATTTTGAGCGCATAAGGGCGCGTTCCCATTATGTCGTAACGTTACGACTTAACGTTATTTATCGTTGGACAACAATCATGTCAAAGCCTGTTCCCATATCACGACTATTTGTAGTGGACGTTTATTTTATTTTTGAACGACTGTTGTGTCTAGCTGTTCCCACTAGATCGTGACGACAATTTATCGGTATACGGCAGCCGCCTTGTCGTTTGCACGACAGAATCGTTTGAAGCTGCGATTGTCTATTCTGTCGTCACATTTTTATCGTGACGACTTATTTATCATTGAACGACTGTCGTTCTAGCTCTTCCCGTTGTCACGACAGCCTGTCGTCGTAACGTCAAAAAAGTCGTGTACGCCAGTTAATCGTTTTGTTCTATGTGTAAACAACTTCATTTAAATATACAAGCATTTTAAACTGCACGATTATCTGTCGTCACGACATAATGGGATCGCGCCCTAATAGTAATTTTCTATTCTAATACTAAATTAGGTAAAAACTTCTAAATAGAATATTTTCATTGTTAGGGATAATGACGATGTTCTTTATGGGCAAACAAGAATATAAGCTTTCATTAATGTGTAAATCAGAGTTGAAATAAATGAACAAAAACGCCTATTTGGATATACGCAGAATACACAAATTCAACTTGGCTATTCAACTGTAGCATGGAAATTCCAGTGTGTACCATACATAATCTATTTTGGTAGGTCAATGGAAGTAATGGAAACTTTGTATGACACGTACCATACATTAAACATCACAAACTAGAATCGTCTTTTCATTGCGAAATCGTATTCATATTGCTTTAGGTAGGTACATTGTTATTTCTTTTGTTATTGTTACTTGTTATTTATTACATTACTTACATTACCACCTACCTAAAATATAGTACAGATACTTGAGACACCGATATCATTCAACTTCGCCAAAGACGGCGGCTTCAAACTTGACTCCTATTTATAAAAAAAAATAATTTTCTTTACATTCGTTCCTTTACTTATATAATTTTCCTTAAATTCTGCAACTCACTCCTAGTGAAAAAAGATACAATAATTTTATGAGTAGGTAATTTTTCAGGTTAGTTTTCTGTATTTAATTTCGGTGGCAATTTCTATTATTTAAATATTGTAGAATATTATCAAGAATAGTATTATTTTATTATTCGAGGGTTGCAACCTGAAATATTATTTAATATTTCAAGTTAATTTACTTAGATACTAATATTATAGGTAGAGAAAACTAACCTGAAAATTACCCTTGAATGAGTTTTGTGTTGGTAGGTAGAATTGTTGCTAACTTTGGATTTTTTTTTTATATTTCCCTTGAAGGTATTATTAATGTCTTTTAAAACCAAATTTATTTCATTATTATTTTTAAACACTTATAATGTGGCTTTATGTTTAAAAATCAGATTGAAAAAAGAAACGTTTTGATTCTACGATTTTCGTTTGTTTACGTGCGCGAGTTGATTGCGTGTTGGTTTCTGAGTGACATTTTGTTTTCGTTTTCTGTTGCGCTCCGTTTAGTTTGTTCGCTAATGTTCAAAATTAGTTAAATGTTGTTATCAGATTGTTCATTTAATGTTTTTGCAAATTAATTTCGATTTTATTATCTATTTAAGAAGAAATATAACCGAATATATTGTGGCACAAGATTGAAAAGAAAGTGAGTTACGGGATATCTAAGGTTTTGTAAATTATTCTAACGGCCTTTATATTCTTGTAATTGTGTATCACTGTAACTAAAGTATATTCTTGAACTGGCTGCTTGGGTACATCGTTCACTGAACGTACTTTGAAAATAAAAAAACACTTCAAAAATATTTTTCGCATGGACATGCTGTATTAAAACGTTTAACAAAATACAAATTATATCTAGTATACGTACGTATTATAAATTGAGACGTAGTAGCTTCCATTTTTATTGATACTATAAATTGAAATTTGTACAAGTATACGAGACTAGCTTTGACCCCAGCATATCCGACTAAAATTATATTAGTTTTTAAGATCATCGTAACGGCGTGTAATTACTTAGCACCTTTTAATATATCATTGCAGTACAATAAAATTGTTATTCTTTTTTTTTATTATAATTGCCCTTTGATTTAAGTGTGCTGAAAACGACATCCGTTGTAAGCAACTACACCATTCTACCAACCACATTCTACTAATACATACATGTACTATTTAATTACCATGATGTATATGACGTACTACTATAATTAAAAAGTTACAATATGTAACATTTACACATTATTTTTAAATACATTATTATTTAAACTTTTGTGAATCAGTTCCAAATTCATAAAACTTTGAACATAAATAAACTAAACTGCGTGAACTATTAAAAGTTTATGTGATAGGGTATACTGTACTATGGTATGGCATGGTGTAATGGGCTGCTGTCAGCAACTCGACATCCAGGTGCCTATTTTGTGTGTGGTGGGTGCAGAAACCTACTCATGCCACCCAAGCTCTTCCAAGAATCTTGGCACCCTCTTGGGTTTGCTCAAGACTTCAGGGAGTGACCTGGGCCCTCTGAGTTACTTCGACCTGTAGTTAACCACGCCGGAGGATTGTAGTAGGATGTGCACGGCCGTTTGTTCCTCCTCCATGCATGCTCTGCTGTTAGAATATGCAGCTCTTTCATGTATAGTGTATACTGTATATAGTTAATGCCTTCTTAGCTGTTTGTATGGAACTTATTTAGAAATTTTATTGAGCCCTGTCTGTTGAGTTAATAGAGATATCATTAATAGGTGTAAAATTTGGGTGAATACCAAACATTTGGTCACAGTCATGGTCGAAGAGCTCAATGTTGGGGGTAACATGGTGTGCATTTACTTTCTGACAGGTTATGGACCTGTCTCATTGAGATTAGTGCCGAGATTGTGGATGTGTGTGTACAAAATGACATCATTTAATAAAAAAAAATTTTTTTTCAGTAATTTGTGATAAAAAATTAATCATGTCATTTTTGAGTAATATGAGCATTTCTTGTCATGATTTTTTATTCAGTATAGGGAATAGGCTGAATACATAATGGTAGCTGAATGTATGTGGCATCTAATTACACACGTGTACATGTTGTACATGATTCAGTATGGATGAAAACTAAAACAAGCGGTTTTTACCCTAATTTGTGACTAATGTGTGCAAACCAAGGCAGTGTTCTAAGTGACATTGCCACTGCTACAATTGTGTACTGTGCCAACTCTTGATAACTTGCCTCTACTTATTTCAAATAATCCTCTTTATTTTGTTTGTCCATTATCAGAGATTTTATAAGCTTGTAGATAGATGATTGCATGGGCTACTATCATTACTGTATAAGTGTTTTATCTTCATAATGTTTTAGTTAAAAACATATTTTTCGATTTCTTCTCGTTAACTTTTTATATGACCTTGACCTGCTTTTAAAGACAATCTGAAGAATGAAAACATTTTTTATTATTATAAAGAATAATAATTTTCCAAACAAAAAATAATAGTAATCATTTGACCTTGCCTGTGGTAGTAAAAATCCAATATTTGCAGTCTCTAATACTTGTACACATTTTACTTACTTTTTACGTTTTTACCTTGAAGTTGAAGAAGATAAAAATTGTCAAAAATCTTGTTATTTGATGATGAATTTACTTTTTATCAGACAAGGTACCAAACAACATTCTTTGTTGTAAACATGTTTTTTATAGTTTATTTCCGCTGATTGTTGCAGAGAACGAAGGGATCAGGAGCAACGGGAGAGGGAAATGTTGGATAAGCAACAGAAAGAGAAAGAGAGGGAAAGAGATCGGATAGAGCGCGAGAGAGAAAGAGAAAAACAGGAGAGGGAGGAGAAGGAAAGGCGGGAACAGGAGAATGCAGCGTCCAAACTAGTGTCCAGGCATTTCGAGGAATCTCTCAGGCTGGCCAACCAAAAGGTAAATAACATTCTTTTACTCATACCGAGTTCATACGGTACGCAACCCAGCGCCAACGTGAGTAACATGCCGGTTATTTTCAGCGGGAGCGAAACATGTCGTGGTCGCTGTTGAACAGCCTGGCGCCGCGCGGTGGCGGCGCGGGCGTCGAGCACGAGCGGTTGCGCGCGCCGCCGCCCGACCGCGCCTACTACTCGCCGCCGGGCCACGGCGCGCCGCGCGCCGCCGCGCCCGCCGGCTCGCCCGGCGACTACCACTCGCCGCACACGCCGCACGCCCGCCAGGCGCACCCCAAGCCCGACAAGCCGCACCACCCCGCGCACCCTAGCCACCCTAGCCACCCTAGCCACCCGTCGCATCCTGGCCATCCGGCCCACCCCGCGCATCCGCAGCTGCCCAAAGGCGAACCCAACTTCGCGTCCTACAACTACCCCGCGTACCGCACGGCGTATGACAAGATGAAAGACCCTCACCTGCCAGCGCCCCCGCCGCTCGTCCCGGAAAAGAACTCTGTGATAGTGAAACACGACGCCAAACAAATCCACCTGGAACAGAAGCATCCGTACCCGAGCAAGTCGCGCGGCGAGCCGGCAACGCACTACCTCCCGGGGCTGCAGCACGCACAGCATGCGCAACACGGACAGCACGCGCAACACGGACAACACGCGCAGCACGGCCGGCCGCACCGCACCGCGCTGTCGCCGCATGCCCCGCACCACGCACTACAAACGCAGCACGCGCCGCAGCAGGACAAAGGTCGGCGCCTTTACCAGCAGCCGCCCACGCAGCCGCAGCGCTCGCCCGCTTCCTACTACCAGTCGCCGCCCTTGAAACCGAAAGTATCCAGTCCAGCGCCGCCGCATATCTACGGCAAGCCCGGCAACTCTCCCAGTCCAGTGCACTACACGGTGGCGGTAGAACCGCCACTGCAGCTGAAGGCTGAACCGCCGCCTTTGCCCTACCCGCCACCGTCGCCCTTCGCCGCCACGGGTCGTTCCGCACGGCCTCCACCCGCGGCGCACTGTCGCACTCCGGAACCGCGTCCGCCGCCGCGCGCACACGGCGATGCGACGACGTCACCCGCGTCGTCCCCGTGCCAGACGCAACCTTTAGATCTGGGCGTCGCGCGAGACGACCCCGACCGCCTGTCCCCCCGCCGCCGTTGCCCCTTCGAGCCTGCGGACTCGGAAGCGAAGCGACGACGGCTCGAGGAGCAGACGGCGCCGGAGCCCCTTATCGCGGCCGCCGCTAGTGTAGGCCGGACGCCACACGGTTCAGAGCCGGCCCCGCAGGCGCCGGGCCCGCCCTGCGACGTGCGTGTGCCGTCGGCAGACGGCAGCGTCGAGACGCCGGAGAAGGCGGCTGGTGCGTCGCCTGCACCCACAGTCACGCCGTCCGCTTCACCGGCGCCGGCCACGCCGGTTCCGCCTTTAGTGTCGTCTCCGCCTGCCATTGCGCCTCCGACTACATCCACTCCGCCCGCACCTCCTGCTACGCCGCCAGTCACCCCACTAGCAGATAGCGACACCCCCGTGAAGACTGCGTCCCCCAACCCGCGAGACGGCTCGGCGCCCGTCCGCCACCTCGGAAAGAAAGCCTGGTTACAGCGGCACGAGACTGCGCCAATCGGTGAAGGCGACTGCTCCGGTGGGGGCGGCACCTGCATCACGCTGCCCATGACAATAACGCGCGTGTCAGAGCCTGACGACTCGAGCTCCAACATCGTTGTCCCAGTTGCGACAAAGTCAATTCAGCGCGGCGCACGGAAAACTTCCAAGCCGAGGAAGCCAAAGGAGATGAACGGGCGAGTCGATGACGCCGAAGAAGATAGCTCCAGCTCCGACCACGAGACGAGCTCGCAGCCGAAAAGAAAACCGCCTAAAGCCAAACGGAAAAAGGCGAACACGAGAAAGGCCGGTGACGAGCCCAAGAAGAAGAAAGCCTCCGAAAGTGGGAGCGAAAGCGACAAGGAGAGCGACGACAAGGACTCCGACTCCGGTGGCAGCGGGAGTGGCAGCGGCAGCACTTCCAGCAAGCGCGGCGGCGCTGGGCGCAGGGGCAGGCGTTCTAGGGGCGGCGGAGGGAGAGGCGGCAGGCGGCGCGACGACATGCCGCGGCGCACGCCCTCCAGTAGCCGCGTTAAGGCGGCGGGCGAGTCCTTCCTCCAGAACGGGCCCTGCTTCGAAGTAGCGCCGCGGCTCGCCAAGTGCCGCGAGTGCCGCTGGTCGCCTGCGCAGCGCGACAAGGATATGCCCAACATCTTTTGCCGCTTCTACGCTTTCCGAAGACTGAAATACGCCAAGAATAGGCAACTAGCTATAGCCGGATTTTCGGATCCCTATAAGGATGCTGAGGAGGTGAATATTGTTTGTTTTCTATGAAATTATGGTGAGGTCTGACGTCAAATTAAGAAGGGGTTTAACCAAACTATCTTATCGCAGGATGATAAAAAGCTGTGGCTGTCGTCATCGGCAGGCGCCGCGGAGTTGGACATCGAGATGAGTTGCTTTCTTCTGCGCGAGATTGGAGACCAGTTCTGTGAACTACTCCTGCAGGAGAAGGAAGCTGCATCACACCATCTTAATGACGGTATATGTCACATTTAACATAGGTCTTGGGAAACCTGACATTCATTCTCACATATAACAGAACGTACAATCACCTAATTTTATCAACTACACAATTAGTAGCGGATTAATATATTATGAACTTTTATATTTATTTGCTTATTCCTATTATCTTCTGTTGTAGACAAAACGGTGGCATGGAAACGCGTGGTGCAGGGCGTGCGGGAGATATGCGACGTGTGTGAAACCACGCTGTTTAATTTCCACTGGACCTGCGGCAAGTGCGGCTTCGTCGTCTGCCTCGACTGCTACAAGGTCAATACGACATTTATGTTTACTATCATAGATCTTCAGTCACGGGCTCGCTCTAAGAAGGAAGTAATACTACTGTATAGTCCACTATAGAGCGCCTATCTTAGTTTTTCTTTTAACACTTCACTGTCAAAGGAAGAGAGAGAGAACTTTAAACACTTCACTGTTAAAGGAAGAGAGAGAGAGAAATTAGTTTAGTTCTTTAAGTCAAATTTACGAGACAAAACTTAAAACATTTTTATCAACAGCTACGTAATATGTATGTAAAATAGAATGATTTAAAATCCAAACATCTGGCTAAATGACGCGAATAAACCAAACGTACAATACGTATTGTGTTTATAAAAGAACAACTTCGATAATAATGGTCATGTAGCTGGTATTTTCGTTTCTATTGTGTTCCATGTGGTTCGAATTACAAAAAAGAGTATCCGCCTTTACATACAGGTACTTAGCTCAGTGTTGGATTGTCACGGATCTTTATTAAAATGGAGGACATATGAATAGGGGGATCTCAGTGGCTTTCTTAAAAAAATAAAAACAAAAAGTCATTTTTTAATAGAACATATTTTGTTGGGTATGTAATATTAAGTGTAGTTTAAAAGTTTAATTATTTTTTCTGCAGTCACGGACATCGGGAGAGTCTGCCAATGCTAGTAGCGAAACAAACAACACCTCTAACGCCAGCAGTAACGGCGAAAGAGATTCCTTTGGGTAAGTTATTGTTTTATTCAAAGATTGTAAAGAAGAACTTTCCCTTTTGCGAAAAAGAGGATATTCCATAATCGCCACACTTGACACATAGATTGGCGATAACAGTATGGCTGAGAATCATAGCATACTGTAGCCATGTCACATGGAGCTGCCTATATCGTAGGTATCACCAGACTACAAAGGCTGATATTTTAGGAGGAAGTCAGTCGAATCCTGGATTGGAACAAGTTTTGCCTTTTGGCGTCAATGGTCGCGTTGCCAGTAAAATCAATTATAGCCCATTTATAATTCGATTGCAGTACATTGCCGTATCGCAATCATTTTTTGACTAGCTGGAATTCCTTATCGCTGGCTACGTTGAGTAACACTAAGAGAAAAAAATATTTTTTCCACTTGTCTGCTGTAATTCACAGACTGAAATAAACAATAATTATTATTAACGTTAAGTAATGCTGTTGTTCCGCAGCTGGCTGACGTGCACGTCTGGCGGCGCGCACCCTCTGCGCCGGCTGCTGCTGACGCAGATCGCGGCGGGCGGCGCGCTGGCGGCCGCGGCGGCGCGCGTGCACGCGGCTCGCGCGATCTGGGCGCTGCCCGCCTGCGCCTGCGGCTCTGCGCCCACAGTCGATCACCAAAGCAAACTTACTGCTAAGAAGCTGTTGCAGCAGGCTTTACAAAAGGTACAGTTCTTAGAATTCTTTATTTATTCGTTTAGGTAAAAATCAACAGCTTTATAACAATCTGTGAACCTTGAAAATTACTTATGTATTTGTTGGGCGGGTTTTGTAGCTTGTAATAATGGAATAAATGTGTGCTTCTAGTCACCTTCGTCAGCGAAGTATTATAATTAATTATGGAATGCTATTTTGTTTACAGAATATCAAAAAGGAGGATGTGAAAGAAGAAAACGTATCCACAAACGGCTCTTCCCCAGTTAAGTCCGAAAATGGCAAGACAGGCAGCTCGGTAGTTAGTTGGCTCTCAGATCTACCCGTGAAGTCTGAAACCAAGGAGGAAAAATCAGAATCTAGTTCCTCGGACTCCGAAGAGAGCGGCAACTTCTCCACACTGCGAGAATTGCTTATTCGGCCGGCACCCGAAGGCGGTGAAACCCAGCCGAAGAAAAAGCAGAAGAAAAGTAAAGGTGATATCCTTGATGACGTGATCTCGAGTGTTGTGGACGAGAAGAAAGATGAGGAAGGCGAAGCGAAGCCGTTCGCGCTGTCGAACGTGGTGAAACGCTACGAGCGATCGCGCGGCCGCGAGGAGCTGCCCGTGCGTATAATGACGCTCACCGAGTCCAAGCTGCTGTATCCCGATGTGCCGCACGCCTGGCTCTGCGACGGCAAGCTCTTGCACCTCACTGATCCACAACACCCCAATAACTACAAACCCTTCCAGGTAATTATTATTATCTTTCACTTCAACAGCCTCATAACGCAAACTCCGCGTTTGCAGCAGTTTTCTTACAAGCTTGTTTTTATTGTTGCAGGACCAGTGGAAACGCGGCCAACCCGTTCTAGTCTCAGACATGTCGAACCTTCTCGACAAGGACCTGTGGTCGCCGGAGAGCTTCTCCCGCGACTTTGGCGACACGAAGGTCGACTTAGTCAACTGCGCGTCCGGCCTCGTGGTGCCCAATCAGCCCGCCCGGAAGTTCTGGGACGGCTTCGAGCTGGCGTCGAAGCGGCTGCGCGACGAGCGCGGCGCGCCCATGGTGCTCAAGCTGAAGGACTGGCCGCCGGGCGACGACTTCGCCGAGCTGCTGCCGGCGCGGTTCGAGGACCTGATGCGCGTGCTGCCGCTGGGCGAGTACACGTCGCGCGCCGGCAAGCTCAACCTGGCCGCGCGCCTGCCCGAGTGCTTCGTGCACCCCGACCTGGGGCCCAAGATGTACACGGCGTACGGCGGCGCCGGCGGCACCACCAACCTGCATCTGGACGTGAGCGACGCCGTCAACGTGATGGTGTACGCGTCGGCGCCCGGCGACGCGCCCGAGCGCGCGCGCGAGGCGGCCCGCGCCGCGGAGGAGGCGGGCGTGGACGTGCTGTCGCGGCGGCGCGCGCGCCTGCGCCCCGCCGGCGCGCTGTGGCACATCTACGCGGCGCGCGACGCCGACAAGATCCGCGACTTCCTGGTGCGCGCCGAGCTGGAGCGCGGCGCGCGCCCGCGCCCGCAGCACGACCCCGTGCACGACCAGACCTGGTACCTGGACGCCGCGCTGCGCGAGCGCCTGTACCGCGAGTACGGCGTCGAGGGCTACGCCATCTTGCAGTGCCCCGGCGACGCGGTGTTCGTCCCCGCGGGCGCGCCGCACCAGGTGCGCAACCTGCTGGACTGCATCAAGGTGGCCGAGGATTTCGTCTCGCCGGAGAACGTGTCGCGCTGCTTCGAGCTGGCGCAGCAGTTCCGCCGTCTGTCGCGGCAGCACTCCAACAAGGAGGACAAGCTGCAGATCAAGAACATCGTGTACCACGCTGTGAAGGATTCGCTCTGCTGCTTGGAGGAGGCGCTGGCCGACGCCAAGTGAGCGCGCGGCCCTCCGCCGCCGCCCCGCATTGATCTCAACCTCGAACGTAACTTTAATCGTTAAGTTCCGCATTTAACGTAAGATTGGAGCGAGTGTGATACGCGCTGTGCGCCGTTTCGTGTATAAGATGCCATGTAAGCGTCGAGTGGAGTGTACCAGTTATGTGTGTAAATGTACTCGAAATGTGATGTAGTCCGAAGCTTTCGGAGATTGTGCAATGTAAATTAGTCTGAATATGGTGATATAGTTGAGAAGTGGATATGTTTTATGTTCCTTATCGAAATACAAATAAACTCTTCAGGTTACTTACAGCTTAATGTAGCGATAGTGATATGTATGTATTGTGTAAATTTTTAATTCGAATTCCATCGAGTACATATTAAGAAATGTATAAGTTATTGTATTGAAGTAAAACGTATTCGCTCCAAGCATTGTACATTAAAACACGGCGTGTAGATAAGTTTCTCCTATACTAGATTTCTCAATTTGGTTAGTATGTTACAAATGTTAGTTAACAAATATGTGACAATTTAATTTTGTCCTTATTGCTGTATTAGGCGAAAGCAAGTTTTTTTTGTACTGTGTATATTATGTATGGTTATAAGTTGGAATAAAAAAAGATGTTTATATTAAAATTGGTTTTAATTTCCTTATAATATTTAAAACATTTACGACAGGGGAAAAGTATTCACGCAAATATCACTGTTGCTTTTCGTTTCACATTATACGATATTGAGCACTGCGGAATTAAGTACAGTATTCTGTCGGACATATCCGATTCGTAATAATTTGTGTTAGGAAATTTGTTAACGATGATAATATCAAATATAAGCTACTAATATCTAAGAAGTAAACGAACTAAATTCAAGTTTTTTGGTTCGCTGGAGAGCAGTGCACGAGTGGAAGTTTTCCTTGACACAACGCCATCTACCAAACGTAAAATAAGCAATAAAATAGCGCCATCTTTCGTTCAGTAGCTATAATAATATGTCATATGTAGCCCAAGAGCTATTATTACACTTACATAGATGTCGCTATTATTGCAATATCTTTGTGCAAAATGGCGGGAATTACATTTTTTAACAAAATAATATTGAACAAGAAAATTTGTTTCCCTGTCAGTTTGTATCAAATAAACTATTGTAGTTGCTAATATATTTAATTCCCTGTTGATTAATAAGTTTAAAACTGTCTTGGTACATGTATAGTTTAAGTCACGAAAAATGTTCCAGAAATAAATAATTTACGGAAAAGCAGTTCTTTAAAAACGCTGTGCCCACAAATGTCGAAATTCGATGCTGAAAAATTGAAATTTATAATATCGATTAGTGCCTGACATTTTGTATTTATGTATCATTTCTCGCGTGGCTTATATGTATTAAAATTTTCTAACTACACATAAGACCATTAAACAGTTCATATAAAGATTTTCTACTTTAACAACAGTTGTTTATCTGTTCAACAATCGACATGGTGCGTGGTGATACGATTCATCTCCGATTTTAAGTAAATGGTTGTACATAGCCGTTTTCCTTTGCTATATAAATACATCCACAAATGTCAAGCCATCAATGTATTGCAATTTATAGAATTATAGTGTATGTTTATAAAAAGTTCATACTCCCCACTCTGGTAGGTTATAAAAGAGGGTCAGCTTCATTGTGAGACTAGTTCACTTACAGGCTTTGACCAGTGCAGATTTTTGCGCTTTTTTTTTATAAAAAGTAAAATAAAAAAGTCACCATGAAGGCGGCTATGCTGTTTGTTTTCGGTAAGATAAGTTTATTTTTAAATAACACTAAAGCTACGTACAGAGAGTTTTTGAGATTTTATTGTAGGCAAATCATGTGTAGGTAGGCAGATAGCATTTATTTAATTTGAACGTTCTAGACGCTGCATTTTATAGACACTTTTTCATTCTTGTTTATCAAGTTACGTGGAATGATTTCTTCCTGATGATTTAATTTTTGGTGAGCGAAGGAGGGAAGGATTTGTTGTTGGTGTTGAGGTTGTCTCTTGTAGGATTTTAGATTAAAGTATAAGTTTTCAACTTGACATAAACCTCGGCGTAATAAAAAAAATACTGTGCAGCCTGAGCGCAGTCGGCTTGACACTTTAGACTTTAGAGGATGGAAATAATTTTTAGATAGCTAACTGGTTTAGATAGTAAGTGGTACGGAGTTAAATTTAAGATGAGAGTTGATAATGTAAAAGGAGAGTTTAGTTGTCTGAACATAAAAAAAATAATTAACCAATCGTTATATACTTAGGCCAAGTGTCTTCTGCAATTAAAAAATAATGCCCAAAGGCATTAAGTGGTACAGCGTCGGAGCCCAGTGGCTGTCTTCCTGCCATTATCTGATATACATACTGCGACCTTATTGCTCTCAAGGTCATAAGACCGTGTCTTGTCAACAGTTGATGTCAGTTGATTTTATTATATGATTACACCAAGCGTCATGTGACTTCTCCAGCCCGTTTATAGTTGGGCAACTGAGTTAAATTACACGTGAAAACGCAGATGTAGAAATTCTTGTAAAACTTGTCCACTAAAATTTACGATACCACAACGACACGTAGGTGACATACGTGACCGACCAGTATTGTTGTATAAACTTTTGTATACATATTTATTATTACTCTTTAATCTGCCAATTGCGAAACCAACTGACGTAACTAGCTGTCGCAACAAGCTTTGGGGCAGCGGCTTTCATAGTGATTTAGTACACCAAAGTGTTCAGAAGATCCAAGCAAGCTTAAAATGTTCGGTTTTTAAATTTATTCTTCTGGGAATGCAACGTGGGGCAAAATATGCTAAACTATAGCGTCATTCTTCGAATTGTAAGCCCTTGTCATCTTAATCTTAAGAGTCTATACAATCTCAAATGGCTTTGGTTGATTCCGCATATGAATGCGAGTGTTGAATCAATCACTTTGGAAACATTGAAGACATACACTGAAAAAATTGAGGATAATACTATGCGGTGTGAAAACACGATTCCTAAAAGTTTATAAGAGAACCGCTGTATTCAATAGGTATAATACGTATTTTTTATTATTTTATATATATATATATATATATTGTACCTATTGAATACAGCGGTTTTCTTGTAAAA